TTCAAAAACAGAAAGAAAATACAAACCCAACACGACTTACAGACTCTGACAGACAAGGAAATATAGACTCAAATGGAAAATCATGAGTACATCAATGCTCCTGGTGCCCGCGGGACATCATTCGGCCTCGCCGCGGGCCTATTTGAAAGATCCATTTGCAATCAATCCAAGTCATTCATTATTTGCTTAACAAATGTCATCACTACTGCGAAGAAGGTAGTGTGGGTCATATCCTCACAGATCTGGCATTTCATGACGATGTAGTCGGCGATGTTCCTAATTCTCTCTCTCTTGTGACGCCTTTTTCTTGTAACAAATGCCCAATCTGCTGGGCCCGGGCTTTCAAAGTTTGCTCGGCCTCATGATTCCACTCCTGAAATCATTGCAAATCTATTTCTAACTGCGCCAAAGTCGTATAACAATGTTCCCTTTAAACCCTGAAGTCCTTTGTTTGCTTGATCATTTTGTTTTCTATGGCGATGACCCTTTTCTTCAGTCCTGCAACCTCATTGTCATACTTCCTCTCAGCTGCTTAATTAGAGGTGCTCATTCTGTCGAGTTTTCGGCCAATTATTTCTGTGCCCTGGTTAATTCACTTTCTGCTTTCTTCAGGTCAAAATCATATTCGCCCACTTTCTGCCTCACGTTATCTATAAGTTTTTCATCTTTGGCACTTCGGGCGGGATTTTCTGCCACTATTTTCATTTTTCGAATCTGGGCCTGAAGGGCCTCATTTTCCTTAGCTAGTCTCTTCTTCTCGCCCTCATCTGCAGCGATATGCAAATCTTTCTCAAATTTCAAATCCATAACTTGCTTCTCCAACTTGCCTATTGTAACCCTGTACTCGTGTTCTTTAGCCAACCAATCCCACTGTTCTTGCGACGCCTTGACGAACTCCTGGAGATGGGGTTTTTTAGCCGGCCTTTCATGTTCAAGTTCTCTCCTGTACCAAGCAAGGTATCCTGGCACCACTTCGCCTTTGGCCTGATCCTGCACGCAAGTATCTGCTTTCAGATATAGGCATTCACTCCAGATCTGACGGACTCTTGCTTCAGGAAACTGTCCGTCAGCGCTAATTTCAATTACTTAAGCACTAAGATCTTCCTCCTATGGCACTGTTTGGCATCTTCCGAGTTGTCTCAAAACCCGATATGGCACGTAGGACTGAATGCTCTTGAGCCCCATCAATAGAAAGTGGGTCCTAGCTGCCGGCATATATATGACCTCATCAACGGGCAACCATCCTAGTGTCCACTGTATTTGGCTCGCGGTGAGGGTCCGAAAGAATGATGTCCACGCCGTAACTCCCTAGCGCAGAGTGACCCCCTTGATTCTTGTATAGAACTCTTCTATGCAAGTTTTCTTCGAGGAACTATAACTCAAGAGCTGGGAACGGTGGCAGAGATGCTCAGTCATCCATATTTGTAGCAACAAGTTACACCCCTCGAAAAAGTTCCCTCTGGCTTTGCAGGCTATGAGAGCTCGGAAGATATCAGATACTATCATAGGCGCAAGAGTGCTTTCATCTTGAGTGAGCAAGGTACTAACGACCCCAACTATTTTTAGATCAACATTTCCGTCTTTCCTTGGAAACACCAAAAGGCCCAAAAAGGTTATCATAAAAGCCACTCATCTATGCTCATCCCATTTCTGATGGTTACTTTTGCTACATAACTTGTTACCCAGATTGTTGAATCATCCGACATGACCGTATCTGTCGTACATGAAGCGCGAATTACAAAAACTTGTGGCCAAATCTGGGTTATGGAGCATCCTGGGTATCTTTAATGAATCTAAAAACCGATGCGCAGTGACAGCTCTTGGAGCAACCAGTTTTTTTTTCCTTAACGGAACTTCAACATTTCCAATGTACCCGGCGATTTCCTCCAAAGTTGGGGTGAGTTCAAAATCGGAGAAGTGGAAGACATTGTGTGTCGGGTCCCAACAGGTGACCAAAGCTCTTATGATATCCCCCCGGGGCTGGATCACATGAGACCTTTTTGATATTTCTTGACCTCATCTTGCCCTTCACCACCTAAATCATCCCACCATAGCCGCAACTCGAAAAGGATTTGTCATTATTGAAAAAGGTTCATTTTGCATCGTGCTCATTCTGCACATTTATTAAGGTGATTAAGCAAAAAATAAAATTTATTTGACTCAACAAATTGACTATTTTTAATTTTTCACAGATTAAAATAAAGATCTGGTTCCGAACATGGCCTTTCAGCACTTCGGGAACGAAGATTTTAAGGCTGGGCGAGTCATCCGGTCAAAAATCCAAAAAATGACTAAAAGTGATCGTTTATGCAAAGTCAGCCGTTCGGCGTCCCTTTCGGGAACGTTCAGCTATTTTTGCCAAAAACGGCATTACTCGATTTATTTATGACTCTTTTCTTGTTTTTCCAAATTGAAATAAAAGACCCGATTGAAAACACGACCTTTCAGCGCTTTCGGGAGGAAGATTTTAAGGTTGTGCCCGCAAACCATTTAAAAAATGACTCAGGGTGGTTGTTCTTGCGAAAACAGCCTTCTTGTGCCCTTTTGGGGACATTCGGCTTATTTTAAGCAAGAATGGCGTCACCCGACTTATTTATGACAAAAATTAAAAATTTGACATTTTTTTTCAAAAGGGAGGTTGGACCCGATGAGGGTTGCCTACGTATCTCGCACCCTGTGAGAATCAAACCGGCATAGTTCGGGAAAATAAATTATTTTGAAAACAAGACCCTTTTTTCCTTTTCTCCTTTATTTGCTTTTTTTGAGTAAAACAAACTATAAAAAATATTATTTTTTTTTCTTAAAATTTCGGCAGATTTTTTGATAGCATTCGGGCATTGGTCTTCTAAAAGTAGGCAGTCAACTCTCTACACTGTTATTTCTCTCTTTTTCTTTTTTTTTCAATTTTCCTGATATTCAGAAACCGGTCAGCATGCAGGCCCGAAACAAATAAATGCACGGAAAACAAATAAGATGACTAGGATGGTCTTTTTCATTTCAGGTTGCTAGTCCTAGACGGACCCAACCCTTGTGTTGAGTCCCCTAAGTCAAATGCAATATGATGCAAACAAGCGTTCCGACTAGGGATCCGGCATGAAGTCATGTTATTTTAGGTTCAAAGCCTAGGTATTTGTTATAGACTGTGTACCCGAGCGGACAACTCGAGTCGAGGAGGGGGCAACGTACCGGGGACCCACGAGATCGTCCGGCTTTGTAACTTGTCCGGCCTCTTTCTTATTTCAAGGTATGACACTAACAGAATAAGGAGTATCAACCAGTAAGCACATCCCCGTAGGTGAGAAGAGAAGGGTTTCGGCACAGTTTATATACAGTTCAGATAGTATCAAAGCGGTAAAAGCAACATTTAGCACATTAGGCCCAAACATGTACCAAAATCAGATAAAGACAAATATAACAATTCATCTAAGCTCGAATTCTGAACCCTGAACCAGAGATTCTGGGTTCTCGTCCCCAGCAGAGTCGCCAGAGCTGTCACGCCTCCTTTTTTACCTACACCCCGAGAAGAGTGTATAAGGGAGTTTTTCTAAATAAAGGACAATCGAAACGAGATTTATTTATTAAAAGGATTAAGAGTCGTCGCTTGGGAGATTTATAGTGTCCCAAGTCACCGGTTCAAATCCCGAATCGAGGAAAAGATGACTCTATATTACAGTCCACGAACCAGAAATCCGGATAAGGAATTCTGTTAACTCGGGAGAAGGTATTAGGCATTCCCGAGTTACGTGGTTCTAGCACGGTTGCTCAACTGTTATATTCGGCTTATTTATGTGATTTTCATACATGTTGAACCTATGTGCAAATTTTTAACTTTTTACCGCTTTTATTATTATTATTTTTAACGAGAATTACAACGTTGTGAAAACATATCTCGAACCACGTTACATCAATGCACCCGTGGTTATAGACACATTTCGACTCCGTTGAGATTTGGATTTGGGTCACATAAATGTGCACCCGAGTTTAAGAAAGTAAATTATTAAAAGCGTGTCTAAAATGACTAGCGCGTTATTATCTTTGGGGAGGGCCGTGAAATTCACTAAACGGCCCATCCCGAATTCTAAATGTTTCATTTTAACCATTTATTGAGGGCCCCGCAATTTATGTATTTTTGTTTGGCGAGACTCGTCTCATTTATTATTTAAAAGGCAAACCTAAAGCGACTATGATTTGCTATTTTATTCTGTCTCTAAGAAGTAAAGAAAAGGCCCTAATTAATTAATATGTCAACAACCTTACTATGAGAAGGGTTGCCTCAAACATTGGGCCTACAAGGACGTTGGCGTCCCAACGAGCTCGGGGTTCGAGCCCGGACGGGAATATCGCAACATGAATCTGGGCAGCCCAATCAGCTCCAAACGAATCATCTGATGGCCCAGACCAAAACAGTACTTTATTTACATTATCAGTACTGAACTAGTACTCAAATAACTTGGTATTTTAAACTATTGGGCTACGGACGTGAACTATATGAAATCCGAAGCTATTTGAACTTGTTTTTACAATTATTGAAACGAATCAATGCTTATGATCTGTCATGAAAAAAAAGTGAACTAACACTAACCACTTTAATGATTCACGATTTCCTAATGGTACTGCTGAAGGACACATTGAGACTAAAAACCATTCAAGCCTATTTTATAACTACTGAAATTAAACATTCAATGTAAGCCTTTAACTAAGGTTCTAAAAGATCTACTGAAATCAAGTCACACTATACAACCGTAGTAAACCATCCAGGGAAATTTTGGCAGCCTACTACAATCCTTATACAACCTGGTTATATTTAAATTACCTGTTGAGAATGAAACAAAACAGCCACTCCAAGTTTTATTTTATACTACGCTAAACGGATTCACAAAGGTCTTTAACATGAAATTAACTATGGCTAGTCATGAACTACTCTGTACCATGAATTTGGCTACAACCAGTACTCAACAGGTGCAAGAATCCGCTAACAAGGAATTAACTACAATTGGTGATTCACTAGGAAAACCAATCCAAGAAAACTAAGATATAATAGTCTATAATCCAGTTATTACATAGCCATGTTCAGTTCAGCCAACGCAATTGTAAACAAGAGTCAAAACATCCTTAACGAACAAAACATTCAAATATACAAATCAGAAACTGAATTAAATTAAAATCTTCAGGCTTCAATTACAAGTTCATCCTTTACATTTCAGCTTCACAATTATTGAAGTCAAGTTGTGTACCTGGAATTGGAACAGAAATAAAGTAGAAGAAAGATCAGCAGCAGCAGTAATTCGAGCAGCAATACAACACCAGTTCACAACAGCAATTTGAAGTTCCAAACAGCCACAAACACAGCCCAGAAAGTTTGTAAAAAAAACAAACAGCAACAATAAATACCAAGACAAACAGACTCAACCAAGCTTGTATTAAACCCAAAACTGAACCAATAGACCACTGAACCACTTAAGAAATCAAAAGGAATGAGAATCACTGTCTAGAACTCGAATTACATATATGGATGCAATGAAACAGTATCTTTTTTTTTTTGGTTTTCTGCTCTTAAACTCTCCAGCACTCTCTAAAAAAAACTGATCACTTTCCCCCCAAGCTCTTAAACTCTCTTCGACCCTCTTTTTGAACTCTCTCTTTTCAGATTGTATTTTTTCTCTTTCAGAATGTGTCTATGTGTATTTACATTCCTCTAACTCATCCTTTTCCAGCTCTTAAAAGCACTTCCAACAATTTAGAAACAATTTCCCCCCATCACCCTGAATCTCAGTACCCCATTACCCCCTTTTCCTATTATTCTATTCAGCTGGTATGGACAGCCTGATATTTAAATTAGGCATGCCCTGACAGCCCATGTTGCTTCTGGTTTTCCACTCTCTAAAGGTACTAGACAAGGTGTCAGCTCTACTGCCGTTTCAATTCTTAATTAAAACCCCTAAAGCCTCATAAACCTTTGAATTATTATAACCAAGACAAACGATTCTCTAAAACATACTTATCATGACATTAGCAAGGAACATNGCAAAAAACATTCAATGAACAAACCTATTTGATATTCGACTTCCGAAACAGTTAATATAATTATTTCAAAAGAGGAATCAGAACACCACGAGACACGAACATGCTGACTAAACACAAGTTAACTGATTTGTATAAACCGTGAAAATGAAAAGCGTGTTCGGATTAATGTAACATACATAAGATATATATAAACCTATTCTGCAGTTATAACAAGAATAACATAATGAATTAAACTCATAAATTGAGTTAGTTCAGATTTTCCATCTTCCCAATATGATCCAACAAGATAACAAGTGGCAATTGGGTAGCGTCAAGAATAGAGAGAGTGGAAAAACTCCATTTCCCAAGTGTTATATAGGTTTCACTTTATAGGGTTTAGAGTGGCTCAATGCATATATTAGCAGTTAAAAAGACATAAAAGCCACAACCTCTGGAAAAGTTTTGAGCCAGTGTTTTATTCTAGCAGCTAATATATATGTCATATAACTTATAGTTCTTTTTAAGTTTTAAATGAGACTGGCAATAGCGTCCAAGCGTATGAAAGTAAGCTAAACTTTTTGTGAAAAAGAATTAGAAAAAAAGAAAATTGAAAATAATTGAAACATCATATGTACATTGTCATAAAACTTCAACAGAATTTGAATTTTGGCACATAAAAAATGAAGGGTGAAAAGAAAGACATACCGAGAGTAATGTGGAAGAATATCGACCTTGAGGTTGTCACATCCTGTAGTTGCTTCTACTTCTTCCTTAATCTCCAAAGCTGAAGCCTTGAGATTATCATCACAATAGATCACCTTGATTGATGTAAGAGTTCCAATATCCACAAAACTGTCAGGAATCTTCTCAAGCAATTCAACAGATCTTAGCACTAAACTCTCAAGCATGGGAAATGATGATTCTGAGACATGCCATCCCCTAAGATGAATGCTTTGAAATTTTAAGATTTTGAGTACCGGGAACTCCATATCTCTCACGTCCCACTCCTCTTGCTCGAAAATACACCTTTGAAATATCAGCCTTTGAAGGTTGGGTAACGCAGCTATTGTGGAAGTTGCACTTGCTAGTATATTAACTGCGCGGAGGATCAGCTCTTTGAGACTTGAAGGTAAATAATACTTGGTGATATTACATATCGAACCAAGCACGAGGGACTGAAGCTGTGTAAGAACATCCAATTTCAGAACGAGAGAGTTAACTTCATAAATATCACTATCACCTATTACGAGGAGAAGCTTTTGAAGATTGGGAAACCTCTCAATTAACTCTATATCCTCACGACATAAACACATGCCTTTAAATGCCCTTAAATTCTCCAACTTAGACGGACCTTCTTCAGAAATTGCAAATATCTCACGAGGTAAGAGTGTTCCTACGTCTACATGCTTTAGTTTCGTCATCTTCCAAATATTAGGTGTCCCTTCTACTATTCTCTCAGAATCCACCAGTAAAGTTTCTAGGTCGCACATGTGTGATACCCACTCGAAAAAAAACTTTTCGAA